GCATACATGGAGTAAAATTGGAAAACAAACCCATAAACTATAATTGTTCACTGATGAGAACATCTTAACGATCACCAAACCTGAAACTTCTTTAATAGAACTGTCTCTCCTGACCTCCTTTGTAACGGTCTCTTACTACAAACTTAATGCTAACAATTGACTATTAATATGGCACGCACAAAACGACTGACCGAGCGGTTCCAGTTCGACTGGAGGGAGGAATATGCGATCTATTGGGGAGTACGGGTTACCAGATCAATTGTAACACTACTTAAACATAATCATTTGCAGTTGTTCACTACTATAAAACACTGGTTGGAAAGCTGGAAAGATGTAAAGATCTCTTGGGCAGGGCGCATAGATGCTCTTAAGATGATGTCTATTCCTAAACTACTGTACGTGTTCCAGATGCTCCCCATACCAATCTTAAGAGCTATTGTGACAAAGTTCAAAAACTGGCCCTTTTTGTTCTATATAAATGAGGGGAAAAAAATAGCAGGCGCAACAATGCAGAGACTTTTTGAGGCGAGGGGTATGGGGATATCCCAGATATGGGCCTACTATAGAGCAGCTCTCTTGGCCCAAGCTATAAACCTACATGCACCCCGAGGAAGGCTGGGAGGGGTAGACATGGAACATAGACAGATGGCTAGGGACTCATTGCTATCATACTTGTGGACCCCTCTATCTAACAGGTAGAGAGGTGCAGTGACTTACTCCCTGCTACACAGGCAAAAATTACCGCATGAGATGTCTTTGTAGCTAAGATGCATTCCACTTCCAAGTTTCATGCATTACCACCCCTAGATGCTTTATTGGCCACCTCACCATGGTTATGTACCCATCAATTATCAGAGATGATATCTGGGGGTAATATGATCTTCTTCCTGATTCTTCAAGAGTCTTTTAACTTACCAACACTGTGACGAGAGCAATCTCGCCACATTGCATTGGAGAAGCCTGGTTGCTCGCCTGTTGCCTTTGGATTATGGCCCCATGTTAAAAGACTTCTTTTCCCCTGCAGAAAAGGCTTATTCGTGCCTTTCTGCCCAGCGGTCGGTAGATTCAATCTACCGAACTAACGCACAAATGACTGGACCACCTGGGAGCTGAAGTGTGTCGGCAAATAACCTCCCACAAGTTGCGGTTAACCGCAGCTTAATTGACGAATGCTGGGTGGCCTTTGTTCGGTTGCCGAACACGTGCCGGCGGCCATTTTAAAGTCCCAGCGGCATTTTAAACGGCCAGCGGTGTTCAGAGCCCAAACTGTGGAACTGTAAACGGACACTTATTTGCGCGAACACCGCTGAGCCATCAGCCTCCTTGCTTCTGCATTCGGTCAGTTAACTGAATGCCTGTTCATTCGGTAGTTTAAACCATATGAACAGCATTACCCCAGATAGCCATCCCGTGGAGTCTATTCGTATGGAGAACAGACTTTAGGAACACTTCAACTCCACGGCGATTGGACTGTGTGCATAGGATCTGAGCGCTATTCGGTACTTTTGTGCGCTCAGATCCCAGCTATCTGGGGATGGGTTGCAAGTATATATTTTGTTTAATAAATGTAATATTGTGTATTTTATTGTGTTTTAGTGTTTTACTGTAACCATGTGGGTAATGGAGTTTTGCCTCTGTCCTGGGAGATAATTGGATTACTTCCCAATTATCTCCAGGACAGAGGGAGGGAAATTAGAATGCATTGTGGGGATGTTTTACCTCTGTGTGTCATTGGTTCATGTCTGTCCATTGTCGCAGTCTCCCATTTGGTCCCCTAGGGGAGTGTCCACCAGGTGGGAGACCTGCATAAATCCTGGGCAGGTAGCCCTCATTAAACCAGACCACTGCTTGACCCTCAACACGGAGCTCTGTCTCGTCTTTGGGGGGATTTACTGTATGCTGTTAGAGACTGATTGCCAGGAGTGTAAGCCGCTTGGGTGCTTTTCCTGTTTGTCTGCTAGCAGCTATTCATGAGGTTCCAGTTCGGGAGTTTGGGGTGCTATTTTGTATGCAGTTCGGGAGTTTGGAGCATTCCTTTACATGCGGTTTGGGAGTTTGGTGTTCTGCAGTAGCTGTACCTGTATCTCTGGAAGGGGAAGATCTCCTAAATGGCGGTTTAACCCTTTTATGCCTGGGGGTGCCGTTACAAACACAATTTACATTTCTCTACCTACAACTGAAAAGTGTTATCTTAGAACATGTTGACTACACCAGGACTGATCCCCAGCCAGATGTGAGAGAATCTCAGGGCTTGCTGGCCTCCTGCTGATCTACTTGACTGAAAACTAAATTAAACTCTAGATGCTACAAGATTCAAATCAGTCCCGGTGCCAATCTCCCACTGGCCTTTGTAAAACAATGGGAAAAGACACAGGGACAATAATCCCACAAGAAGGGTGGATTAAGAGACTGAAAACAATGAAGGACATTACCAGATGCTTTTCCCATTTAGAGGACCATCGTAAGCTGATATATCGCTGGTGTTTAACTTCGGATAGGCTTCACCACATGTACACCACTACTTCCGATAGGTGCTGGCGATGTGGCACTTGCAAAGGAATGATACATATCTGGTGGGAGTGTGGGGGAATTACACCTTTATGGGCGTGTAACGGACCCTGCATCAATCGATGCTTCTAGTGCTTACCAAGGACCATCAGCACCGCACCAGACACCATAAGCACTGCAGACCCCACGAACCACCTTAGCTTGGTTGGGGTCTCGCCGTCTCCTATCCACCCTGGACCTACGACAAGGCTCCTGGTTCCAGTGGTTGAACCTCTCTTTTACCAGAGAGTGAAGCACGAACAGGAACAAGCTCTTACAAGAGCTAGTGATTATTCAAGGGAGTATGAAGAGCATAGCAATCCCTGTAGTGATTATAACTGTCCCCCCAAACACGAGATGAGGCTGCGAGATGAGGGTCAAGTAGAACTGAAGGTTTAATGGGACAGCTGCTTCTTTTATACAGTATTTCCCCACAAGGTTACCACCCACGTGGACCTTGTGGGGCACAGGACATGAAATGTAAAATCCAATATTTGAACACTCCCAGTTACTGTACACAAATCCCCTCTGCCTGTGATACAATTAACAAAGACAATGGGCTAACTCAATTAACTTTAGCAGAAACAAAACATACATTTTTACAAACCCCCAAAAAGTACCCCAAAATACAACACATCCCCTGATAGCCCCGATCTGGGTAAACAACATATCCAAAAATCACCCAGATCGGTTCAGGGGTTCAGGAATTTCCTTGAATTCTTATGTTTGCCCCACCGTGCACATGGTCCCATGCCCAAAACAGTTCCATACACTCGACGGCAAAACACTGCTGGACAATTTAAGATAGCCACCACCACATGTTTTATTCTGTTCCTGTTAAAAGTCCAAGGGGCAGAAACAGTACTTTTGAACATGGGTTATCACAGGGCTCATGGTCCCAGGGTAGGAGGCAGGCAAGCAGGCCCCTCCTAAAACCATTGGCGAAGTGTAGTTCGTCACATATTTTCCCCTTTCGGGGGAGACTAACCAGGTACCTGACCTTCTGTTGGTCAGTGCCTGGGTTAGTCAAGCAACACCCCCCACAAGAAACAATTACTGCCCCTGGTGCCCGGCTCTGTCCGGTATGTCCCAGGTTGCTGAGTGGGTGTTCAGCACTTTGATCTCCCTGGTGCAACTCGGCAAGGAGCTGTGGGTACTTGGTGGGCAGAGGCAAGCTGCGTTCTGCCCCGATGCCAGTGCTTCAGCTGGGGGGACCAGGGCATAGTCCTGCCCAGTGGCCAGGGGACCGTTAGGGCAGAGGCCAGCGGCACTCTGCCCTGCAGCCAGCGTTACAGCTGGGTAGGGGAGTGGGTGGTCAATTCCTGGATCAGGAACCAGGGGAGGAGAGAGCTTAGTGATTAGTCAAGGGAGTATGAAGAGCATAGCAATCCCTGTAGTGATTATAGCTGCCCCCCCCCAAACACAAGACGAGGCTGCGAGTTGAGGGTCAAGTAGAACTGAAGCTTTAATGGGACAGCTGCTTCTTTTATACTGTATTTCCCCAGAAGGTTACCGCCCATGTGGACCTTGTGGGGCACAGGACATAAAATGCACAATCCAATAAAAACAGAGTTTTACATTTGAACACTCCCATTTACTGTACACAAATCCCCTCTGCCTGTGATACAATTACAAAGACAATGGACTAACTCAATTAACTTTAGCAGAAAAAACCATACATTTTTACAAACCTCAAAAAGTACCCCAAAATACAACATATCAGTCACATCCCCTGATTCCACCGATCGGGATGAACAACATATCCAAAAATCACCCACATCGGTTCAGGGGTTCAGGAATTTCCTAGAAGTCTTATTTTGCCCCACCGTGCAGATGTTCCCATGCCCAAAACAGTTCCATACAATCGACAGCAAAACACTGCTGGACAGTTTAAGATGGCCGCCACCACATGTTTGAATCTGTTCCAGTTAAAGATCCACAAGGCCCATAGTCCCAGGGTAGGAGGCGGGCAAGCAGGCCCCTCCAAAAACCAGTGGCTGACTTGGTT